CTCCTCAGATTAATATCTAAGAGGAATACTGCTGCCTTTGTGAGCAGAATGTGTGGTTTTATTATGGAAGTAAATGTTGTTTGATGTTTGTCTGCAGCTTTTTTTGTGTTTGACTGCAATGAGCTCTTGATCTTAGATTGGGGGGTTGAATCTCACAGGCCAGATAATCATGCTGTGAGTTCAAACACACACAGAAGTCTAACATTTCCCCCAGTGAGCTTCAGTGTGTGTGTGTGTGTGTGTGTGTGTGTGTGTGTGTTTGATTGATGGATCGTGTTTCCAGCTCTGGAGAGCACAGCAGAAGCTCTCTATCAGTAGAATATGTTGCTATCAGAGGGCTGTGCTGACTCATTTCCTCTCTGCTTCACTGTGCTAAAAACACCTGAAGCTGTAGTACGTCCATTGCAATAGAACAACATCAAACATATACAGCCTTAAACATGAAATCAAGGAGAATTGAACAAAGTCGTAACACAAAACAATCGTAAAGTGCTTTTCAGATCAGACTTGATGCAATCATGTGGGGCTGCTGCCAAGCAATGTTTTCATTATTAATGTATCTCTTGATTATTTAATCTATAAATGACTTAAGCCTTTGAGCAACTTTCCTTCTGATCTTGCACCCACACTACACTCGTTTGAATGCAACCTCAATATATTTTAATTCAGTTTCATACTATAAATCATTTTTATTTTTATGCTGTTTTTATGCGTTTGTTTCTGTTTTTAATACCCTGCTCTTCTCTTTCTTGTCCTTCTGTTAATGTGTGCCTCACTTTTATTGTGTGAAGCACTTTGAACTCCATTTGTACCAGTAAATGCAACAGTTGATTTGGCATTTTGCTTGGGGAATGCTTGCTGATTCAATAAAACAGTATCTGATAGTATCAAAGTCTAGATATCGGGTGATTCAAGAGTTTTTCTACATGTCATGATAATAATAATAAACTTTCATATCTGTAACGTGAAAACTTGATCTGTTCCTGCTGTGGCCACTAAAGTGTCTGAATATATCCATGTGTGGAACCGCTGACTCATCAACACACAAACAGACTGGTTGGTCAGACAGTGATTTGTTAATTGTGCACAGAAATGCTAAACACACAATGCTAAGAATGACGTTCTTCACAGATGGCAGACACTTACAGAGCAAAATGAACCATAAAGGTACCAAATACAGTCTCTTTGTTTCCTCAGAAGTAGTGGTGACCACTGAGTCTCTCGGGAGGGAAAAGGGAATGTGGCATCTCTTCTAAGTGCAGGGTTGAGTTACAGTCAAGGTTTACTTTCCCCCATTAGTCAGACCAGAGAGGCACTGTAGCTTACCAGAGGGCCGTTGAGCTGCTCAGATTACACTCTGTGTGATATTAGTGGTGTCGGGGTGAGATAGCAGTTCACTGGATCTTCTTACAGTAAATCAGATCTCCTTATTGAATTCCATGACAACACTGAACTTCAACTTACATTCATTCCTGAATGTATTTCAAACTTTTACTGGACAGATTTATTACGTGTTATGTATGTTACTATCTTCACGCTGATCTTCTCCTGACCTACAATGAGCTGAGAAAACAGAGGTGACAAAGTCAAGTCTGACTGCTATACAAGAGAAAGGAACGAAGATCACACTGGTGTTGTTCCCTCTTCCTAACCAACTCTGATCCATCTGAGGATTTTAGTTTTCCTCTTCGTGGTAAGACAATGATTCCCATCACCATTTGGGGAATGTTTTTCCCGTCTCTGCTGCACGTCGCTGCCCTTCTGTTTGACATTTCTATTAGAAGTTGGCAGGCCGATCAGCTTCTCAGCAGCTTCTCAGTGAAGTGAAGAATCAGAGCTGCTTCTCTCTAAATATTATATAAGATCATCTGAGAGCAAAAACAGTGAGGACACACCTGAATTAATCATCACATATGCAGCGTGTGAGTATGAACTTTGGAAATAAGTAGCCACAGTGTCTTACCTGCAGAAATATTAATAATATTGAGCCTCTACATGTGTTGAGATTTGTTTTGGACTGAGGCGGCTCAGGACTGACAGCAGTTAACAGGCTTCATTACAGACTTTTACCTTCTATTGTTTGTGCTTTATGTTTTGTTTGCTTGCAGATTTAATTAATATTGTACACTCTTAGAAATGAAGATTCTGACTAGAATCGTAAAAGGTTCTTCGGCTTGTCCTCATAGGAGAACTCTTTTTGGTTCTTGGTAGAACCTTTTTTAAAAGGTTCCACCCACAACCCTTTCACAGGGTTGTACCTGGAACCCTACATAAAGGGCTATTCCTAGAACCATCTGTGAAAGGTTCCACCTATGAGAAGTTCCAATAAACATGAGAGGTTACAGAGAATCCTGCTATGGTGTAATGGTTCCACCCAGAACCCTCTCTAGAGGTTCTATCCAAAAGCTCTCCACCTTCTTACGGTGCTAACAAGGACCCACCTAGAGGGTTGTATCGAGAACCCTTTCATATTCCAAGGGTTTCATCTCGAACCTGCACAGGGTGTTCTACCAAGAACCCTCTTGCTTTCAACAATCCTTGAAGAACTCTTTTTTCAAAAAAAGTTCTTTGGATGAAAAGGGTCCTTGGAACCCTGAGTCTTAAGAACAACCCTTGAAAACCCCTTTTTCCAAAAAAGGGTTCTTCAAAAGCAAATGGTTCTGTAGAACCTCAGCCCTTCAGGAAGAACCTGTTTGGAACCCTTGTTTCTAAGAGTGGGGTAAATCTACCACTGAGCCATCAATGCTAAGGACAGACCTTTTCATTCTGCTTTGATTTAACACAGGTCGTATTATTGCTTTGGCCAGGAATGGCCTGCAGATCCCCCACATGGAAGGTGTGGACTTCACTGAGCGATCAATGATACGTTGCAATTGAAAGGGCAGTTGTTATTGTTCTCGCCTGATATGATTTAGGTTGAAAAGGTTACTGCATTTTCCAGGAATCAAACCTTGGCCTCCTGCATGGAAGCCGAGGTATACTGAAACACTGCTATTGTTATTACAATAACGGGCGGTGTTAATGGGGGCCCCTGGAGACCTGTAACCATTATTATTTTCCACTTCTGAGTTGGATCATCACAATAAACCCCATTCTGACCTTCACAGCATCATTTGTTTGTCTTTTAGGTTGTCAGACATTCTGGTTTGTCACAGACAATCGCGTACACCATCAATATTTATGCCTCCGCTCATCCTCTTATTCATATCTCTAAACTCGGCTGAAGAATATTCATCCCAATAAGTGATGTACGAGCAGTTTCACGAGTCTCATTTCCCGTCATAATGAGCTTCACCTGCAGTGCTTCACCTGCAATGATGGCAGTGGAGCTGGGAGGAAGCAGCCCTCATGTTGACCAGTGATTTGTTTTGAAAAACTTACAATTGATGATGAGATCGCCGAAGGTTTCATATATCAACATTGTCCTCTCTGAATATTTCTGTCACAGCAGTTCATTAAAATTCTAAACTCATATTTACTGTGTTGTGAGGCAATAATAACTGTTATTGCTTCCCCGCTGCCTGCAGAGCTGGAGCCTCTTTTTTCTTTATTTTATAACAAACTTCTGCTGCTGCGGCACCACATATTCCTATTCCCTGCCCAGTTGGTTCCTCTATTCAAAACTAATTAAAAGCAGTGGTTGTTACTCATAAATCTCTTCATGATCTTTAAACCAGCATCATCAGCTATTTGTTTTCCTCAAAAGAGCCAGTTTGCATTTGAAATGCATTTACAATTCAGATACCACACATATCAAGCTTTAAATACCATTTCTTGGGTCTTCTTTAGTAAGATAAAGTAAATGTTGTACCACCCAACTGAAAGTCGTGGGACATGATTTGAGTATTTTTGGAGAAGTTAATTGCTTTTATAAGGAAGCCGACAGAAGTAATGAAAGGGAATGAGGAGAGGGAGAGATTGGGAATGACGTGATGATTCCAACTGGGGACTTTGTGATTGATGGTCACACTGAAACTCTTTGGAACTTCAAATATTTGATAAATCAACTGGCTGAAAGCATTTGACAGAAATACTGGAGGAAAATATATCCTATTAGATATGAAGCTATGAAAGATTTACAAATGCACAAGTCTTTGAATGAGCAAATATTTAGGGCAAATGTGACATGCGGAGCTGTGGCTTCACAACATTGTAGGCTGAGAAGAAAACCAAAGGGTGTACGTGGGTGAGAAAGCTGAGATGTCACAGGAAAAACACAGGAAACGTTGCTTACACCTCGGAGAAATAGGTGTTTTCATCAAATCAAGAAAAGAACAAATAACAAAATAATATGTTTTTTATACACAGAAAATACCATTTGTTGCTTTGCTGGCATTTTTTAAAAACAACATAGAGTATAACTCATTAACTAAAAATGATCATTCAGGTAATGTGATGAAAAGTGCCCAGAGATTTACTCAAGTGCAGTGAGTGAACGAGAGCATTTACTGAAGTGAGAACCTCTTTTATATTCATTTTTTTTCTTGCATTCACATTGATGGGTCTACAGTTTGAGTAAAATGTTATACAAGCAGGGTTTTTTTTTACCCGCAGCAACATTTTATCAGCTTTTCTGCAATATTTATCTGCAAGAAAGTAAAAGGCACAATATTTACACAAGAAAAAGTAGAAATTCTGCCAAGATAGTCAAGTAAAGTCCATAATATTATACTTAACTACATAAGCAAATTAGCAAAAGGGATGATTATTCTAGCCTGTATTTGTCTTATTGTCAACAACTCCAACAAATGGGTTATGAATATATAATTAATTAAAAAAAGGTTCTGTAACTTTGTTAAACAGGTGGGTGATGCAGTTTTTTTCATCAAACATTACTCAAACAGAAGTAATTAGTGGCAACAATAGATAATATGTCCGTCACCAGTTCATTATCAGTGTGTGGCCCGTGTCGGCCTGTAGAGGGCGCCCTGCAGCCTCTCATCCCACCGGAAGAAAGAAAAGGCACATGTGACATTTAACAGGAAGTAAATAAACTGCCTTCCCGCGCAGGTGAATCGGCGCAAAAAGACGTCCGCATTCATCAAAATGGACGAGCTTTATTTGGATAACATCGACGAATATGTCAACGACCAAGACAAGATAGTGAGTGCACTCTCGATGTGTGATATGTTGTCTTTTGTTGACGTTATTCTGGGTGAGATACGTTAACCCCGGTGAGATGAGCCGTTAAACTACCTGTTTACGGTTTGCTTCCTTTTGGCTGCTGTATTTATTTCTCATGGCTTACAACTATCTGCTGGCTTGGTTTGGGTTCGTGGTTAATTCGGCGTATGAATGATTGAAACGGTTGATTCAACGTTACGTCAACTTGGTTTCAGCTCGTACGGTTGTGTTTTTGAAATGATCGCAATAAACTCAGAATTAACGCCACGTTTAACGGTCATTCTGACAAATTAAAAGCTAATTAGCTGCCATAGTTTGTTTGGCAGTTGTGAATAAACTATGATAGCTAGCAATGTCATTGTTGTTTTGTTTTTCTTCTCCCAGATGATTCACGTGGTATTTAAAATGGAAACACCGATGTTTTCATGTGGTTTCTGTCCAACAGGTGACTTATAAATGGCTGAGTCTCACTCTGGGAGTCCATGTCAACACAGCCAAACAGTGAGTGTTACTCCCCTTATAACTATGCATTAATGGTGATTCTGAGTGATAAACATCCATTTGTATATTAGCTAACTGGAACCACAATCACTGCATCACCCTATAACTAGTTCATTTATCTGGGCTTCATGTTTTATTCACAGTAATATTCTTAGTAAAGATACACAACATTGAGGACTTATTTCCTGTAAAACCCTTTTTTACAAAGTATTTAACAAACCAGGGCAACCTTCTTCAGCGCTTCAGTTGAGCTTAGAAAAGATCTTCTTTGTTTCCTCGGCATTTTAGTCTAAAATTATCAAGAAAATAAATAGTAAAAGATAAAGTAAACACGGCTAGAATGGATCAGTTACTCAGTGATTACATAATGTTACAGATTGAGATGCGTCTTGGGTCAATATTAAAGAACAGGGCCGTGCTTCTACATCCATTAGTCAGAGTTACTGGATAAAACAATGAACATGTGTGTCTTGTGTCAGAATGCTCTTCCATTATTTGGATCACAAGAGGAAGGAAAGTTCAGCTCAGCTCCACGCCACGTATCTCGTGTCGGGCAAGTTTGTGGACAACGGCCAGACGGTGAGAAATACACTAAATGAATAAGACTTGTTCTGGCTTGATTTGCATATTTCTCTGCATGATTTTGTGTTGCTGATGTTGTGCTTGCTTTTAGAGTCACAAGGTGTCAGTTATCAAAGAGGACCAGTTGGAAGGTTGGTGAACATGTTTCCCAGTATTGTGCAGAATGTTTGGGCTGCAAACTAACACTGTTTTTGGAAATTGCTTCAGCGTTTATTTAAGGTTTATTTAAGCTGATATCTGTTGTAGCAGAGGCAGAGCTATCTGACCTCTGGGGTTTTTGTCTTTTGCAGATTTCAAATCCAAGATGAGCTTGATCGTCAGTGTCCATGTCTACAGTGTGCAGAAAGCTTTGCTGAAGGACAGCGGTCCTCTCTACAGCGTCGACTATGACGCTGTGAAAGACAACCTGAAGAACTGCAACAGGTATGATGCTCTTATCTTTGTGTGCGATGATTTGATGACAACAGTTCCCAAAAATATAGTCAAAATGTTCAGATATGCCCACGAACCTAGCTCAGGAACTAGAGGGCGAGAATAATCTGTTGAATTGTAGAACTGTCATTCTTCAGGAAAGTGTCGAGTCGATCCATCTTCTCTGTTTGCAGGTACAGTGCGATCCGCTGTGCCAGTGCAGTGCCCATGTCTCCTGTGGAGCTGGAGCAGACGAGAGAGATCCAGCGAGCTCCGACACCAGAGCCTGAAAACAAAAAACCTGGCGTGAATGGAGAGGCCAGTCGGGCTTCTAAGCCTTCCACCAAGCTGCAGAAAGGCATCATGGGAATGTTTGCCAATAAGTCTGCTCCTAAGAACCAGGATAGTGGCAAAGACGTTAAGGCGGAGCAGAAGGAGGAGGCGCCTGTGGTACGGCTTTGTAGTCTTTTGTGTGATTACCTGCTATTTATAAAGTAATAAACTACGGTATCGGAGTAAACGCTGTAGCTTTTCTTTACGACTGTTTGGTATTTTTAGGTCGATGCCCCCAAAAGTAAACCAGACGCAAAAGCCAATCCTATGATGAACTTCTTTGGGAGTCAAGCAGCAAGTGAGTAATATTGTCTCGTGAGACTTTAGATTCTGGTTGCAAAACACATGAAAATATAAATGAATGCTCCTGTTTTGATTTGGTGATTGAAGCGGGATAATGCCCTTCGAGGTGTCCGTTATCAGGAATTTATGAACATGTACAAGAACCGTACAAGGTGCTATGGACACATCATTGGGCATTATCCCTTACCTACACCCCAAGATGAGCCCCATTCCTTTATATATTTGTGTATGTGTAGCTCTGCTGTTCTCCGTTTAATCACGTTTCGACATAAACACTCCTGACTTTCTCTAGAGACAGCAGAAAAAACTGTGAAGCGGGAGGAAGCAGCTCAGTCATCAACCTCAGCAGAGCAACAACGTCAGACTTCAAAGCCTGAAGAAAAGCGAGCTGCTGCTGCTGCTGCTGCTGTGGAGCTGCCTAAAGACTCCAGGAGGTGTGTGTTTCATTATAACACTTATGTGGGGAGAAAATGCTGTTCAAACTAAATTAATGATTTTTACTCAAAACTTCAGATAGAAACACAGACAAGAACAAGATTCTTCTTGAGTTTTAAAAGCTTTTGAATTGAAAGGCTGTTCATTGAGTGATGATGGACTTAAATAAAGCTATAAATGTATTTAAACAAACGTCTTCCTCTTGTTGAAGCAAAACCAAGCGACTCGTGGATTCTGACAGCGAAGAGGAGAAAATGGACAAGAAAAAGAGACGGAGGATTAAGAAGCCTGAACCAGACAGCAGCGATGAAGACGGTGAGTTGTTAACTAAACTGTTTTTTAAAGTAATTTTCTATTTTTAAATCTTGAAAGAGAAGAACTTAAGTTGAAAGGCCTAAAAAGGACATCGTAAATGACTTTCATAGTTGGTCACAAGGAAGGAATACGTAACTGTTTTTTGTTAGTTCACATTTAATGTCGTTGTACTGTCTTTCATAAAGGTATATACTGTTATAAGAATATCCCTGGTTCAAGTTTGGAGAATTATGGCCTAGTTTATCTTTTTTGTAAAGCCAGAATCCTGATAAAGGGTGAGTTTCAGAAGCCCTTTAAAGAGTAATGCTAGAAGACTAATACTTGTTCACGTCTTCAGTCATTCCAGATTCTCCTCAGCGGATGGAAACGAGAGAACCGTCACCAAGTCCTAAGAAGAAGGTCCAGTCTGTTTCTCATTCACATGTAAGGGATTAAACCTGGTGATCAGACATTGATGATGTAAGACATTGATGAAATTTTCTTTATGTATTTAACACTGAATAACGTTTTTATTTCTTCAGCAGGGGAACTCTGAAATGAAGACGAGGAAGAGGAGACAGGTCCTGAAATCTCGGACGTTTTTAGATGATGAAGGATGCATCGGTATGAAATGCTGTCAGAGGATGAGTTTTTAATCATCAGTCTTATGAATATATACTGAATGCAATTCATTTTCCAAACCGGTAAAACAATGTGTTGTAATACTGACACTTATTCTATGACCGATGTGTCCTCAGGAAAATGATACTAAGCCTTCTAATATTAAGATTTTGTTTGTTGACATTGTGTAAGAAAGACGTTTATGAAATGTTGTGCTGCAACTAATGATTCTCCATCAACTAACACTTCTTTATTATCATTTAATCTGCCAAATGTTTTCTTGAGTAATCTGCTGTAAAACATAAGGAAAGTTGTGACAAATGACCAAAACCCAAAGACATTTAGTTTATTATTATTATGGAGGACTTAAAACACAGCAAATTTTTATTTATTTTTTGCATAAAAATCTCAACTATTTCTCAATTATCAAAAGAGCCAATTAATTGAGTAAAAATGAAGTTTTTGTGTCAGCTCCATGTTCCATAATCCTAGTTTCCCTCTGATCTGGTTTTTACTTGTATATACATGAGAATTGACAAACTACATTAATATAATGGAGTTTAATACACCACCACTTAATATGGTCCTATTTACACACAAGTCGAGACCATAATCCCTCTGGTTCATCTTCTTTCCCCTCAGTGACCGAGAAAGGCTACGAGAGTGAATCGTACTCTGAAGCAGAAGACGACGTTCATGCCGCTAAACAAGCTCCAAAAGATCCAAAAGATCCCGTCCCCGCTAAACTACCGTCGAGTACCAAACAGGACGAGAAGAGAAGTCAGAAGAAAACGTCTGCAAATGCAAATAAAGGAACTAAACAAGCGTCCATCATGGGATTCTTCCAGAAGAAGTGATAGACAGCGTCAGACCCTTTTTTTGTTGGACAGAGGAACAAAAAGCACTGCTGCGGACTTTCTGTGAACATCTTTTGGTAAAAGTCAAAGCTGAAACACTCCACGTGGACGATCGAGGACTGCAACTACATGGACATGTCCAAATCAGGATGATAACTATTTCACTTTTCACCTTCCCGTTACCAGATGTCCTAGTCAATAAACTATGAATACTGAAACCAAACGTGTTTTTTTTCTCTCAAAATATACACAAAGAAATGTTTAAAACGATACACGTAGGAGGTCGACAGGATGTATTTGTCCGTTGAACAGAATCCAATTAGCTGTTACAAAAATGATGTTGCGTTTTAGTTTTAGTTTTGTTGCATAACAGGTGCTCTCCACAGTAACCTCAAATACTTCAACAATTAGCCGGATCAATGTTGAAGTACATCAACGGTTCAAAACCGTTGTTGACCCCCAATGGGCAATGTCGAGTAATGTTATTCCACAAACACGTCTATGCCTGCAGTCTAACAAATTCATCACAATGGAAGTAAATCTTGCCACTGCATTACTGTAATAACCATGACATGGACAGCTGTTAACTAATAGGTTTAGTTGGACGCTGAGCCCTTTGGTACACAGTTAGCGTGGGGTGGAGGGTTTCCGATAAATATGTAACTCAGTATTATAAAGTAACACCTGAGCCTGCTTTCTCTTTCAAAAGTACCAGAATGTGTAAAGAAAAGCGGCTCATATTACTGAATAACTCCCGTTTATTCTTCCTCTGTCGCCGATGATGAACAGTGCATTGTGGTCCGTGGGGACTTGTTGCTCGGGGACAGCCAGACTACCCTGTCAGCTCACACAGAAGCACCACACCCTTTCGCTGCAGTAGGAGGCCAGTAGAACTGGTATTTGGATGAGCTAAGGACTCCATCATGAAAAAGGATATCCCTCACTGTTTCAGGGAGCGGCCAGAAAATGTGTTTGTGGCTTTTGCTCCATTATGGCATCTGTTGAGTGAGGTCAGACATGATGCATTTTTATTTAGGAGGCCTCACAGCTGCAGCTCCCTTTCTTAAAGACAGCTGAGTCACAGGCTACAGGAATATCCTCTTTTGGGTTTAACAATAGCACCAGTGTTCATACTCCCCTTGCATTTTCCTTAGCAGCTTTCATGAAACGTGTCTTCCAGCCTGTGTGTCATCATAGTCCGTGTCAGTGTTTCATTGAAGCTTTATCACACTTATGTGAACTTATGTGAAACATTCAAATGTAAGAGGCATTTTTTATGGCTGCATTTAAAATGGAAAATCTTGTTTCATTTCACACACATTCCCTATAATACAGTCTGACATATATACTAATCTGGAAAACCCAGGGATCTTTTAAGTAGAACTTAGTTTTATGGGTTAGACTGCATAGCTTGTCCACAGATTATGCCTCATGTGTTGATGGACTTCCAAAAGGGTCTATGAGGTTTTACAGTTTAAAAATTGCATTTTGCAAGATTACAAGGTGTCTTTTATTGTGATTGTACAACACAGGGTTGTGAAACAAAATACAGTTTGCAGTCCCATTTTGCTGCATGAGAAAAACATACAAAGCAAAACTATATTAGAGTGGAGGGTGGGGTGGGAGTGGCTAGGGTGGGTATTGTCCAATTATATTCTTTAAGCTCTTTGCAGGCACCTCTTGTCACCAATATCACTGATGCTCTATAAAATGGGTACCGATATGTTCTGGGCAGTTTTAATCACCCACTGTAGAGCCGTCCTGTCCTAGGCCGAGCACATGTAAGTTTGTAATTTTTCCAGTTAGGATTCTTTCTATTGCTCCTCTGTAAAAGTTTGGCATAAGAATTTTGCCGTCTTAAGTTTCCTGAAGATCTGGTTTTGAGCTTTTTTTTACCAGGAGAAAGGATGACTACTACCGGTTGTTTGGGATGTTAATTCTCAGGAACTTAAAACTGTTCACTTGCTCCACCTCAACTCCGTTGATGTAGACAGGTCTAAAATCAACAATCAGCTCCTTGGTTTTACTAACGTTGAACAGTAGGTCAATTTCGGAGCACCACTCTGCAAGATTGTTGATTTCCTCTCTATATGAAGTCTCATTAGTGACATCTGCAAACTTCACAACAGAGTTCTCATGTTTTAGGTAGCAGTCGTGAGTGTACAGCGTGAACATGACGGTGCTGAGCACACAGCCCTGTGGGGCTCCGGTGTTCAACACGAGAGTGAAGGAGGTTTGGCTGCCAATCCAAATTGCCTGGAGTCTGTTTGTGGGAAAGACAAATAACCAGTTGCAGAGTGTGATAAGGTCAGAGTGCTAAGTTTGACAATCAGTTTCATGGAGGGAGATTGTGTTGAATGCTCAGATGAAATTTAAAAAAAACATTCTGATGTAGGTGTTTTTATTTTCATATTTTCCACATTTCTTTCTTAAATTAAACCACCTTTTTCTATTGTATTTTACTCTCATTGTTAGTCGTTTTGGACAAAAATATACCCCTGGTTCTTTTGTTATTGCTCTATTTGTATACAATCCCCTGTATACTGAATCTTTATGTCCTCTTGTCATATATATATATTATGAATAAAATCTTTTTACAAACATCATTAAGTCATTTTTTAATTAATTTTTTTACAACAGCCGGGACAGCGCGAGGAAGGGGAGCGCCGAGGTGACGTCATTGTGATCCACATCCACAGCAGCAGGAGCTGATCCACACCGGTACATCATGGCTTCCTAACAGGCAACGGGAAGTGACCGAGAGGAGGAAAAACAAGGATTTCTTGTTGAATGAGCGACAGATTATCGCCCTTTCCCCAAGAACCACCCTAGATCCCTATAGGGATCCAGGATACACTTACATTTTTGTATTGGTGAATTATTTCCATTCGTATAAACCGTGTGGAAAGATGGCCGACCCGGCGGAGTGCACCATCAAAGTGATGTGTCGCTTTAGGCCCCTGAACAGCTCCGAGGTGGTCCGAGGCGACAGATACATTCCCAAGTTTCAAGGGGAGGAGGACGTTATTATCGCGGTGAGTCATTTTGTGTTTAACTATACCTATTTGACAGAGACTTCTAGAAACAGTTCAGCCATTTTTTATTGTCTTGCAAGCTACGGTAGTTAGCTCCTTTAGCTTGTTAGCTAACGTTAGCTATAGAGCTGACCTGTTAACCGCTGCGTTATGGCGCCACCAAAACGGTCAGTTACATTACACTTATGACTTATTTGGTGCCCCAGATAAATGGATAGTCGGCAGCAGAACTTAAATAAACATTTCAACATGCCAGTCGACTTGGTGCTCTCGTAAAATGTCACTTTTCTGTGACATTTCATGCGAGCTGTCAGTCAACAAAAGCCACAAACAGACATGTTTAAAATTTCGTGAGCGTTATGTCCTGCTACATGCTGCACGCTATCTACACACCGCACTATTAGTCACGATATTAAATGATAAGCAGCCCGTGCATCTGTAACGATTAAAGCTATTGTTGATGTAGGGTTCAGCATAAAGCGTGTAACGTTAAGCCTGCTTTGATTTAAGCTAGTCGTGGCTAACACTAGGCCAGCTGGTAGGTGACAGATTAGCCGGCCTTGTGCTAGCTGGCTAGTTTTAATGCTGTTGCTTAATTAAAGCTAACATTAGCTAGCTGACCAGCTGGTACCACAACACAACCCATTTGGTAGATCAAGTTAAAATAACCTTTTAGACAATGACAACGTCATAATAGTGTCATTGGCAGTGGAATTGTTGAATTCTAATCAGTCTAGTGGTATTATTTTTCTGTTGGCCTTCATTGACTGGACACTTAAGAATTAATAGACTAACAAGTTCAACTACATATTCAAGTAAATCCTTAATCTGTTTTCTTTACATGAGGACGTTCAGGTTTGGGATCAAACCAGAGGTTTAATTAGTGGTACAGATCAAGCTCTTGATGGTAGGAAATGCCCCTTTCTAATGCAGTGTTGCCTCCATTTTACTGATTCAACAAAGAATCAGTAAATCAGACGTCAATTTGCAAATGATGTGCACTTGATGCTTTGTCATCATAGGCCCATATACAGTCGCTTATGTCTTGACAAGACGCTGTTTACTTGACACAACCTGGCTCATGCCATGACGTGCCTTTACACACTATAGCTGTATGGCAGCATGCAAAATGTCTTGTGATTTTTGCCTTATGACTGTAGTAATTAGGGAGCATAACAGCATAAATGCCAGGCTGACATCTCAAGTTTGTACATGCTGATCATGCAAAAGCCAATGCTGTATCATTTAAAAAAAATAATCATGGTTAAACATTAGTTTTTGTGACATTATCTTTTTTCTTTGTGGACTTTATGTCTTCACTCACCCAAGCTTTAAAAGAGTTTACTAGGCAATTGAAACTGATCTTGAATAGCATTCACTACGTAGCAGGTTTCGGCTGAGTGGACATGAATCACTTCCTCTTTGTAGTTAAACTACTAATTTAGGTGGCGAGTACAACAAGACTATTCATTTTCTGTCATGCAAAACGGAGACCAGACATGGAGGAGGATGTTGTCGCTGTGTGGTGACTTCTCGAATAGTTTTGCTGACACTATTTTGAGGTCTTTAACTAATGGCGAGTGTACTGCCTGTGCCCCTCAGGCACAACGTGGCCCAGCCCAGTTCAGAGTGCCAGTCATAGTGTCAAAATACCAGTGCACATTGTGAAGGATGCAAGTGTTGCAGGCTAGAGCTTTGTAGGCTCTGCTGGTGCATCTACGCTGAGAAGTACAATACTAACAGTGCCCATAAGCAGCATCACAGGCCTCCTGGGTAATCCCTCCCTGTGTTTTCTCTCCTGGTAACCAGCTGTTCGACCAATCGGAGAAGGCAGTTGGCCAGACACCGGGCAATCGCTCCGGCTGGGGAGGGCAATTATTATGGTGATGTACTTTGTTTTGCAGATGCTCTTATCCAGGACGACTGACTCACTTAGCTCACATTTGTATCCGTTTTCCAAACAATCGAGGGCGTGGACCCTGTTTTAGGGCTGAAGTCTCAACAGCAGTGCTGAGTGCAGAGACGTCCAACAAGCAGCTTCACCATGGCAGGCTTTGGTGATGCTGCTTTGGTGCATGCAGATATGCTTGGAGATATTCCCTACACCAGAGATTTTGTTCTCCTAGAGCAGTACGCCCTTACTCAGCTGTGCCTTTTGCCGGAAAGGGAGGTAGACTAAGTTACCAAATGAGGTGGTATAGGTGTCGTGAGCAGCTTGATTTGCCAGCGTAGTGCGAGTGTGCAGCAGGTGAATTATTTATACTTCCCTGTCAGTTTTGCACATAATATATCAGGTCAGTTTTGCTACTTACGTCTCCCCGAATGACACAACGCAGATACTTTTAGTGTAATGGTAGATTTGCGTGAGACATAATGGGGAGAAAAAAGGATTAGAGAGATAAGTAAAAGTGCTCCTAATGCATTAAAACACGTACATAACAGATGTGCATTGCAACAGCAATTGACACCTGTTCTTTTCCTGCCAGCTGTGTACCAGGAAGCAAGGAAGGAGGAAGCAAGGTTGCCAAAAAATCCCAACTTGATAAAACATGGAATATTGACTTACTTTGCATAACGGCACACAAATCCAATTCGATTTCATGCACTGTACAATATGAATAACCTTGGACTGTGTGTCACGGTCTCTCCTGAATGTATAGCCTGGACAAGTATCCTAACAAAGCCATCAGGAAGCAGAGACATGACGGAGCGCTTATTAATACTTTAATAATGCTTTTCACTGTAATTACACTCTCAGCAAGTAATCCCATCAGAAAGAAGTGTAGGTACCGAGGCCAGTAGCTGTAGTAACAATGAGGACTTTAAACTCGGGCTGTGCCATTGTTTGCTGACAGCGTCTGGCAGCCATGATAGTGGCTCTGGGCTCTTGTTGTGGACCGGGTTAATTGCCAGGATGTGGCTAGCTGGGCTGAGTTATCAATGTCTTAAGGTGCTGCTGCTCTGCGTCGCACCGAGCTGTACTTTGGATGTGACCGTCTGTCAGGAGGGATTATGAGCCAAGAGTGCAAATTGAGGACGTCTCAGCTGTAATAGTCTGAAAGGTGCCTGTAGCTTCTAATGCTAGGCAGGGACATATTTGTGGTGTCAACTTGAGTTATGAATGTGTTTACATGTCTTGAACAAGGTGACACCGGCTGCGTCTCAACATTGTCAGCCTTCTACTGCACTTACAGGTGTTAACACTGAATCAATATCTAATCTTGCAACCCGGGCTGTCGCATGTGAAGGGGGCTGTCTTGTTCTTAAACTCTTAATGCAATACAGCTAGATACCTCAGGCTGGAGACGAGATGAGTCCACTGGGACTTCAAACCTCTAAAGACGGCGTGGCATCTCAGTTGAACCTCCGTATTGCTTGTAGTATCACTTTTTTTTTTTAGCCTGTGGTTGCCCCCTTAAATCCAGCTATTGATCGCTGTCTCACTGGAGTTGTGCTTTGAAGTTTTGACTCACCCATAAGAAAATCACAAATGGCTGCACTCGTGCTTGTGTGAAGTCTCTTTAGCCAGTGGTGAAAGCTCAGACTCTAGTGTAGTTCATCAAGATTGTTGTACCGGAGTTCAAATGGAACGGGAGAAGTTGTTTTCAGGACAGCTAACTTTCAGAGGTGAACTAAAATGCAGTCAGGACTCGGCAGAGGATAAATTAGTGTGAGAACGTCAAACTGGGACAGTTTGGGAGCGTCCTGGTGGCCAGACTGACCATCTAACGCAACGCCCACTGCGTGCGTCTGGCATGGGATCTTTGATGCATGTCACCCATCCTGTTAAGCCGAATTTCCTGTCGCCTCTCTATTGTCAATATCAAAAAAAGGCAGACATGTCTGATTTGAATGACACGATAATGCTTTTTGTTTATTCACTCACTTTTCCTCTCTTCGTTTTAGGGCAAACCGTACATGTACGACAGAGTGTTTCAGTCAAACACAACACAGGAACAAGTGTACAACGCCTGCGCCCAGAGGATTGTAAAAGGTGAGGTCTCACTTTTGATTTAATCAGTACGCTACACTTATTATTCAGAGTCTTTTTTAACAAAAACCGTCTTGTAGATGTTCTGGATGGATACAATGGGACAATTTTTGCATACGGGCAGACGTCATCTGGCAAAACACACACCATGGAGGTAAGGATGACTTCTAAGAACTTGTGTGCATCTTGTTTTTGAATAAAAAGCTTCGCTTCACACCGTTAACGTTTATATTTGTTTGCTCTCTTGTTTGCAGGGGAATCTCCATGACACAGATGCAATGGGCATCATCCCCAGGATAGTTCAAGATATCTTCAACTACATCTATTCCATGGATGAAAACTTGGAGTTTCATATCAAAGTGAGTAGTTAGAAGGGGCCAGCTGTTGAGCTGTCCCACCCCTAAATGAGAAGCAGAGTGCTGCACTGGTTACAGCGACACTGCCCTCTAAATAGAGAGAATTCCAGGTTCAAATAGTGTTTAAAGTCTGATATTTATGTCTGACTTCCACTATTTCAAACTGGGTGCAAGCAACACGTTACACACTTCTTGTTTTGCAGTTTGCTATTACTCAGCTTTTATTTTAGATACGATATAACTGATGTGTAACATGTCATGTATTTCCTGGCTGACTCGTCACTGTGTTTGTTGAACTCTACTCATGCACTACAACGCATGGTGATACGTACGTGTTGTGTAGGGAAGAAGGAAAATTGAAAATGGCGAGACGTTAACTTGATTTATTAATTATATCTTCAGAATATATCTAACTCATGTTAACTGTGAAAATATTAGACCTGAGCTGCTTCAACATGAGAAACATGTTTATGAACTGTATGTTACTCTGCTGCTGTTTTATCATCAAGACAGCCTGCTGTGTGTGTTTTAATTCACTGGTCTGATCTCGCAGGTGGATTGCCCAATAATGAGGTTCTTTCTCTGTTCACAGGTTTCATATTTTGAAATTTACTTAGACAAGATCCGGGATCTTTTGGACGGTAAGTGGCGATAGTGCAGTGAACACTGTAGCTCTCATCTGGCCAGAACCGGCTGCTAAAAGCCTGAACATAATGGAGGGGGATGTTACCTGTCAACACACCGACTTTGTTGTTAATGTGTATATTCTATATGTATATGTCACTTATTTCAAGCTGTATAAACCTGCTGAGTGGAAGTTTTCTTCGTTCGTACACTGTAAATCAGCCAATTGGGAAACATTTTAGAAGTAATGAGATGAAATTAAAAGCATAAACCGAATATATATACTGTACGTGTCTATATAAATGTTTATATTTCCTCTCCTCTCCAGTGTCGAAGACCAATCTGTCCGTGCACGAAGACAAAAACAGAGTACCATATGTCAAGGTGAGACTTCCTGTCACATGTCAAATATCCAGTAAAACCTGTTTGTGACGGTCAACAACCGTGCCTCATGTTGTGCTTCTCTTTGTAGGGCTGCACTGAGAGGTTTGTCTGCAGCCCAGACGAGGTCATGGATACAATCGATGAAGGCAAATCGAACAGACATGTAGCCGTTACAAGTAAGATGCCGTCGTGTAGTCACAAAGTCCATTGACTGTAGCTTGAGGCTGATGCGTTTCTGACCACGTGGGTGTCCTTTCTCCTTCAGACATGAACGAGCACAGCTCCAGGAGTCACAGTATCTTCCTGATAAACGTCAAACAGGAGAACACTCAGACGGAGCAGAAGCTCAGCGGAAAACTCTACCTGGTGGATCTGGCTGGCAGTGAAAAGGTACAGAGAACCAGCTGTCATACATGTAGATGCCTTACACTGTGCACATTGGATGACTCATTGGCCTGGGTTCATATTAGTGTCCCTGACTTCAACACCTTGCTGAGGTTTTTGTCTTTGTGACTTTCAGGTCAGTAAAACGGGAGCAGAGGGAGCTTTGCTGGATGAAGCCAAGAACATCAACAAGTCTCTGTCGTCTTTGGGAAACGTCATCTCTGCTCTGGCTGAAGGAACGGTCGGTACCTCCTCTCCAACTCTCTTTGGTGTTCGTTCTTAAGTCTCACATTAAACCTGTTGAATGTACAGCGGTGGTGTCGGTCTTTTAATTTGCACTCTATTCAGTGTTTCCAAAGGAGCGGTGTACACCAAAGCATTTTTCCCCAGAGTATTTTTAAAATGACTTGCATTGGGAGTGGCAGGTATGAAAGCTATGCTGCAAAATGCCAGCAGCATTACTGTGGACTCACCGGTGCCCTCGTGTCTGCTGCACTGGACCAAACGCATCGTTTAGGATAATAAAGTTGACTTGAATCTGAACAACTCGATGAAACTTGGCGAGATGCTTCCTGGCACATCAAATGTCATCAGCCACATAGACCGGGAGGTTCGTCCTCTCTCCCTACGTGTTCATCCAGAGTTAGTACTTCCTTGTGCCGGCATTTTTACCTCTGCAGATATTCCATATCATAGGGAAAGTGCTCTCAAGCGTTCCCAGAAGAGAGCCTGCTGTTTTCAGGGAAAAAATGCTTTAATGGATAACTGAGGTTTATGTCTTGTCAGTAAACCTTTAATCTTTACTTCAGATCATAATGAGACTAAATTAGTTTGTAGCTTTTTCAGCGCAACACATATTAGATCTGTTAGAGCCTCAGGTGATGATTTGTTTCCCCCCCAAATGTTTTATGGTATTATGAAATTACAGACATCACCATCGATGTAACAGACAGAAGGGGAATGTGCTGTTTACCAGCTGCACAGCCCAGAGCTCAGTGTTTTTATTGGTCATCTTCCTGTGAAAGTGCTGTTTCCAGTCATCTACAGGCTCTTTGTGTCGCAGGAATAACTTCAGCGGATAACAACTTTCCTCCGAGCGATGTTTTTCTTTCCCTGCTTCACAGTGATTTCACACTTTTCACTTTAATCAATAATTGGTTTGTTCTTGGGCCCCTTCGCTCTGTAAACAACCTGAGGGGGGGAGGGGCCTCAGATGTATAAGTGATGGTCTGAAAACAAATGAGCTCTTGTGCAGAGATGTCTCACTCCTGACTCATTGTGGAGTCTAAAGAGTTATTGCAGACTGCTTCAGCTCAGCTCTTTGTATCACTACTAATAAAGTATCAAGTTAGCGTTTAGCTGCCATCTAGTAACTGAAGCCATCGCATCCTGTTGGTTCTGTGCGTTGTTGTTTGACATCATTTACATTAACTCGAGGGTGTGTTTCCCCCCAGTGTCCTGATTCTAAAACCGACTATTAATCCACTTTTTAAAGCTGATATTTAGAAGGAAAACAAGCTCCCATGAGGGTTTCCCACCCGTGATGAGTTTGCATAGATTAAATGTTCCTGCGTTTGTTTTGTTTGCGTGTCCCAGGCCTACATCCCCTACAGAGACAGCAAGATGACCCGTATCCTGCAGGACTCGCTGGGTGGTAACTGTCGAACCACCATTGTCATCTGCTGCTCGCCTTCCTCCTACAATGAGTCCGAAACCAAATCCACCCTCATGTTCGGACAAAGGTTGGTAGGCCACTGCTGTCAGTTATGGACAGCCATACATGTATTAATAATCATTATCATTGTGTGTTCACGCCTGGTTGCGTGTACATTTAGGTATCTTTTTATTTTAAGGAAGACTGTTCTTATTGGAGTCCTTTCAGTTGAATGAAACCTGTTTGTTTTCAGAGCAAAGACCATCAAGAACACTGTCACGGTGAACGTGGAGCTGACGGCAGAGCAGTGGAAGCAGAAATATGAGCGGGAGAAGGTGAAGAACACGACTCTGAGGAGCACCGTCACCTGGCTGGAGAACGAGCTCAACCGCTGGAGGAACGGTAAGGAACTAGACTGCATCTTATTCCATTGTTGCATGATTGATTCCTATAGCAAACATCAGTACTCTTATTTGTGTCGGGGGTAATGCATTAACACAGGGGAGTGATCATCGGGGATCATTTTCTGTTTGTGGTCACAGTCACTGCATGTATTCTAAAGGGCTGGTTCTGGTCTACGGTGCATCAAGGACAACTTACTTTAATACTTGTTTATTTGATGGTACAAATAAAGCTCCTTACACACTCATACTTAACGTGTGTGTGTGCGCGGTACCTCAGGAGAAAGTGTGCCAGTGGACGAGCAGTTTGACAAGGAGAAGGCCCACGCCGAGGTGCAGGCCCTGGACAACATCATCAACGAGAAGCAGGCCTCCACGCCCAACGTGCCGCCGGGTGTTCGCCTCACCGACGTGGAGAAGGACAAGTGTGAGGCTGAGGTGGCCAAACTTTACAAACAGCTGGATGATAAGGTGAGCAAGAGGACGGGAGGTTTGTAACAGAGCTGTGGGTTTTGTAGATTTGGCGCATTATGTTACAGGTTTCACACGCCCTTAAACATCGAAACAAGCAAAAGTACACATGGATTTCATCATGAAATCTTTGAAAACTGCTGTAGGTTAACTGGTGGGAAAAATATCAAATATTTAGACATGATCAGTGGTCTGTCACCTCGTACCAACGGTCTCCAGTGATGCTTGTGGTGCCTGGTGTGAATGTTAATGTCGCTTTGTGTTTCTGCACTTTACAGGACGAGGAAATCAACCAGCAGAGCCAGCTGGCTGAGAAGCTGAAGCAACAGATGCTGGACCAGGATGAGGTGAGTACCGGATGTTCTGCAGGTGTCGAGTGAACTCTTAGGGCCCCGTGTAAACATCATAGTGTAATTAGGGCGTGTCCAACTCCACTTTTGCTAGTTAAGCAGCACTTGGTGCAAAGTAAGGCAGAAGGTTTGTTTTGTGCGCAGCGTGAATTAAACAAATCAGCGTCTCTCTTTTCCTTTTAACTGCGAGCTGCACCTCGACCTGTTGCATTGCTATTTAAATGGCAGATTCGTCACTTTGGAGAAGCAAACATTTATTCTTTGAAAGGCTAAATGCCAACAAAATTGGGTTGAAGCAGAATAGTCTGTTTGATAAAAACATGTTCTGAATTTTGAAACTTTTTTCAATACAATTTGACTTTAAGACTTAACAACGCTCTTAAGTTATTGGAAACGTTTGGATCACACTAGTTGGAAACACACAGCCACCGCTGCAATCTAATTCTACAGATGGTGTAATACTAATGATACTAGTGTAGCCTCAACATCTGGGTTCAAACAGAATGAATACACGGAAGGAAAAAACATCCTGCACGGCATTCAAATGTCAAAATTATGAATAAAGCTTCCAACTGCTCACTACAGCCCTAGAATAGTCTTCTATTGATGAGTTTCATATTGTGTTTACTGATAAGGAGGGCACTTCATTTACTACTTGTCTCTGTCTATTGACTGTTGGTGCTGAATGAATGTAGCGGTGGCTTATTGTGAAGGGATCAGGTGTTATTAATTAATTGTATTATAAGGAGGAGCGCTGAGACTGCACTGCAGGTTGAGCAACACAGAATGCCTCAGACAAAAGAGCCGTACTTCATTTTACACGGTCGTCATCTGCTGACTGTGTATTGACCTAAGGAGGAGAGAGCGTGTGTGTGTGTGTGGGTGAGAGTGTGAACCCACCAATGTCAGCGTATCTTACTATTTCAATAATGACCCCTTTGAATAGCAGGAAATACTATTACATTTGCTTCTTGCAAAGCGCGGGAGCTGGGCACTGTGCGCCACTCATATACTGTTTAGAATGTGGGCGGAGCCTTGTTGAAAATGCAAAAAAAGTAATTAAGGAGGAAAGCTTGTGTGTTTTGATAACAGATCAAAAATCAAACTGAACATTGTAATGAATACTGAATAAGCCCTCATGTGTTTTAAAACAAACATAACTACACTTCTCTCCTCTGCTCGCAGCTTCTAACGTCCTCCCGCCGCGATCACGAGAACCTCCAGGCGGAGCTGAACCGCCTGCAGGCGGAGAACGAGGCCTCCAAAGACGAGGTGAAGGAGGTGCTGCAGGCTCTGGAGGAGCTCGCCGTCAACTACGACCAGAAGAGCCAGGAGGTGGAGGACAAGACCAAGGAGTTTGAGACCATCAGCGAGGAGCTCTGCCAGAAATCGGTGAGCCCAAAGTCACCGTGGTGCTTTAATTTAATACGCCTTTTATTTCTCCTTCAATTTGGTTATATTAATATACAACAGACAGAGACTCTACACTATGATTAAACATGTACACAGACACACGCACACATTTATTGCTGCCACAGCTTCTTTCTTTCAACTTTAAAAGGACTTGGTTGCTGACTTAAATCCATTACATGTACAACACGTTAGACTCATAGAGGAGTAAACGTCCTTCACACTAATCACATAATTCTCATATTCACTTGACGAGTATTGTGAGTGTGTGTGTGTGAGAACAATAGAAGAACACACAGAGTCAAAGAATGAG